TCTTCCTGTGCCATCTCTGTCACCTACTTCCCCTTCGACTGGCAGAACTGCTCCCTCGTCTTCCAGTGAGGCCACTTATGGGGCTGCTCGGGGAGGGCACGGGTGGCAATGCCACACTCTAACCTCGCCCTGATACCACCTAGAGGCTGGGGGCTGGCTCCATCCCTCCCTGGCCTCTGTGCCTGCCCTGCCTGAAGGTGCCCCAATCCCCCCTGCTAACCCAGGCCCCATTTATCCTCCTTCTCTTCCTCGGTTTCCCTTCCTGGGCCACAAGGGGAGAAGGCAGACGTGTGCACACAACACACCCATCTGCACACACACATACCTGTCTGCACACACACGGCCGTCTGCACACACACAGCCGTCTGCACACACACACACCCGTCTGCACACACACCCATCTGCACACACATGGCCGCTACCCTGCAGACCCACGGGAGCAGGGACGTGGGGTGGGGGGCTGGCAGGGAATCCCAAGCCATTCCTGGGGGGCAGGGTCTCGGGTCTTAGTTTCCTCATCCATAAATGTGGGAAGGGGTCTGGGTGAAGGTTTTTCTGTAACTTTTTAATGAGAGAAAGAGGAAAAGAGGGGAGCACATGCCCTTGCCTGAGAGAGAGGGAGAAACACCCCTGAGAGGGGCACCCCTCACTGTGCCTTCACTTCCACCTCTCCACCCTATTGGGATCAGGGTATGCATGCACATGCACCCAGTGTGTTTTCTGCTCTGTGACTGGGGCTGGGATTCGAACCACAGATGGCTGTGCAGAATTTGGCTCCTTTAACACTAGCCCAGGGGCCAGCCCTGGAGAGTTATTTTTAATCCTTGACCTGTGCTCCTCCAGGGCCAGGCTTCCAGTTAGCTGCGGTGACAGGCAGCAGGTCCAGCCTATGCTGGTCACAGCACAGAACCCAGGGCTTCCATGTGGCCCTGCCTTGGGTGGGGGTGCCTACCACTTGGACCCCCTGGCTCACCAAGGAGCAGCCTTCTTACAAGGAAGCCTGGCAGGGAGACGCCCTCCATGGGAAGTCTCCAGAGGTCCTGGGTGGGCCTGTATCTTCCAGGATAATTGTGGCCCCTCCTGCCCACGTGGCAGTGGGAGGAACGAGTGCGAGCGGCCCCGCCCAGAGACAGGGAGGTCGGGGCTGCTGCCTCTCTGTCACCCCAATTCCCCACCCAGAGAGCCTGAGTCCCCGGTCTCGGCGTCTCACCACCAGAGTTTTGTGGTACGCTCTGGAGCTGGGGCCGCTTGGGCAGCACTCTCTGACCTCATGGGCAGGTGGGCCCTGCTCATGCTGTCCCTCGGGCCTCCCAGGTCCCAGACCTACAGCACCAGCGAGATCAATCTGCAGCTGAGTCAGGAAGATGGCCAGACCATAGAGTGGATTTTCATCGACCCCGAGGCCTTCACAGGTAACCCCTGCCCAACGCCCCAGGCAGGGCCCCTGCCCAGCTGGCTGCAGCGCCCCCACCTCTCCCTCAAACCAAGGTCGCTCCCCTCCAATGGACTCAGGATAGAAACTGAGTCAACTACAAGAGACTGGAGGGTCCAATAACGTGCTGACTTTACTCCAGAAAATTTTCATCTCGAGAAAATCACCCCGCTTTGGGAGGGAGGGGATGAATCGCTGGATCTCCTGCTCCTTTCGGTGGCGCCCCCTGCTGCGCCCTGCTTTCCCCAGGGCTCCCACAGTCCACCGCACTCCTGTGCCTGCCCGCAGAGAACGGTGAGTGGGCCATCCGCCACCGACCGGCCAAGATGCTGCTGGACCCCACGGCCCCGGCGGAGGAGGCGGGCCACCAGAAGGTGGTGTTCTACCCCCCCGGCTAAAGCCTCTCTTCTACGTCATCAACATCATCGCCCCCTGCGTGCTCATCTCCGCCGTGGCCATCCTCATCTACTTCCTCCCTGCCAAGGGTACCTGGGCCTGCGGGAGGGTCGGCAGGCCTGCCACCAGCTGGGCGCGGGGGACAGGGGCCGGCTGCCCGAGGGAGAAGCAGCTCCTGGGGTGGGGGGGCACGGTGGGGCTGGAGTCCCGTTCTGAGGGCCTCTCGCCCTGGCAGCGGGTGGCCAGAAGTGCACCGTGGCCATCAACGTGCTGCTAGCCCAGACCGTCTTCCTCTTCCTTGTGGCCAAGAAGGTGCCTGAGACCTCCCAGGCAGTGCCGCTCATCAGCAAGTAAGACCCCGGGGGAGGGGGGATTGGCTCTGCCCTCGGCCCTCTGCCCTCGGCCATCACACCCAGCTCGGGGAGCCTGTGGGTATGGGACGCCCAGGGCCGCCGCCCCTACAGGTACCTGACCTTCCTCCTGGTGGTGACCATCCTCATTGTGGTGAACGCCGTGGTCGTGCTGAACGTGTCCTTGCGCTCCCCGCACACACACACCATGGCCCGCAGGGTCCGCAAGGCAAGGCCCCACCCCACCTGCTCCTGCATGCTCTTGCCTCCACTCACCCTGCCCCCTCTGGCCTCCCCCGCCTGCCACATGCAACGCAAATCTGCCGGTGTGCACCCAGCACGTGCCCACGTGGGTTAATGAGTGTCGGTGCTCCTGGAGCCGGGGAATTACAAACACTAGCTTATGTAATCTGCACAAAACTCCCATCAGTATCATCCCCACCTCACAGGTGAGGGCGCTGAGGTGCAGAGTGGCAAAGTAGCTTGCCCAAGGCCACACAGCTGCTCAGTCTGACCCTGAAGCCCGTGGACTGCAGCACTCACCCAGGCCCTTGTTGCAAACACTGGTCCCCAGACCCAGCCAGGCACCCCAGACCCAGTCAGGACGCAGGGGTTGGAGCAGGGATCTGTGTGATGGCGAGCAGCGTCCTGGTAGTTCTGATGCGCAGACACGCCTGGGTGCAGGCTACGTGTCCAGTACAGAACAGCCGTGCTGCACCAAGGCCACATTGCAGCCTCTAACTGGCTGCCTCCAGGACCCCAGCAGTGAGAGCCCTTCGTGCCAATTCAGCTTCTGTTCCAAGGCTCAGCCTGGCTCCCAAGCTGAGTCACTGGGGCGACGCCCTCCAGGTGTTCCTCTGGCTGCTGCCCCAGCTGCTACGGATGCACGTGCGCCCACTGGCCCCTGCAGTGGTGCAGGACACACAGCCCCGGCTGCAGAACGGCTTCTCGCCCGGATGGTCGGTCACAGCCGGGGAGGAGGAGGGTCTCCCCCTGCCTCGGAGTGAGCTCCTCTTCCGGCAGCGGCAGCGCAATGGCCTGGTTAGGGCAGCGCTGGAGAAGCTAGGTGAGGCCCAGGGGGGTGACACTGGGGACGCTGCCCCCAGGGACTCCAGCTGGACATCCAGCAAGCAGCCGACCAGCAGAGGGGCTGGGCCCCAGGGAGAGGCCCCTTCTCTGCCTGCTTCTCCACTCTCCTGAAACTTGTCGTCTTGGCATCAGAGAAGGGCCCGGAGCTGGGACAGAGCCAGGAGCTCTGGGGTGGCCTGAAGCAGGCAGCCCCAGCCATCCAGGCCTGCGTGGAGGCCTGCAACCTCATTGCCCGTGCGCGGCGCCAGCAGAGTCACTTTGACAGCGTAAGTCTGGTTGAAGTGAGGTGTCTCTGGAGGGCAGGGCAGGGTGAGTGGCGTGGCCAAGGCAGGACAGTGGGATGGGAAAAGTAGAGCTGGGAATGGGGTGGGGTGGGGGCTTCGGGGCTAGGGACCATGTGAGAGGCAGGTTAGAGATGAGCGGGAAGAACCTGAGGAAATGGAGAAAAGGCACCTGCTGGGAGCCCAAGGTTGGTAGAGGAATCCGGGGGGGCTTGGTGCCCCCGCCACTCCTCCCACGCTGCCTCCTGCCTCAGGGGAACAAGGAGTGGTTCCTGGTGGGCCGTGTCCTGGACCGCGTCTGCTTCCTGGCCATGCTCTCGCTCTTCGTGTGTGGCACCGCAGGCATCTTCCTCATGGCCCACTATAACCGGGTGCCAGCCCTGCCATTCCCTGGTGACCCCCGCCCCTACCTGCCCTCACCAGACTGAGCCAGCAAGCGCAGCTGGGCATGAGGGGGCACTTATGTCTCTAGCTGAGTCTCGGCTGTGCCCTCCTGCTGCTGCAGTCAAGGGTCCTTGGGGAAGCGCCCTCAGGCTATGTGAGCCAACCGTGGAGGAAAGTGGGAAATAAAGAGACAGAACTGGAGCCTCTGCGTGGCTGGAGGTGGGGCTGGGCTGGGTCGGTGTGCGATGTTGGGGTCAGCATCCTCGTGGCACTGGCCGCCCTGTCTGGCACTAACACTCCTCTGCCTACTACCCTGCCCTCACTGCGGCAAGGCATTATCAACTCCTACCTTCTCGAAGCCTCTAGAGGGGCAGTGGCCCATCCCTCCAGGCTGGACTGGCTTCCCGTTTACGAGTTCTCCCTGAAGGAGAGCAGTCAAGAGATGTGTGAAGAGCAGACACCAACACTCTCTCAAAAGAAGGGCAGGGCCAGCACCAACGCCCAGTGGTTAAGGAAGCCAGATCTGACATGGCAGACCTTGGTTTGAATCCCAGCCCCAGGAACTTGAGAAACATGCTGGGTGCGTGTGCAGACACAAAATGCCAACAGGATAGAGAACCAGAGGAGGAGGGACTATGTCTGACAATGCCACACTGGGAGTGTTTTCTCCCTGTCTCTGGCAAGTGCATGCATCTTCTGGCAATTAAAATAAAGAGCACCGGGGGGCCAGCAGGTGCCATGGTGGTTAAGGCACTGGACACTTCCTATGGCTGACCACTGTTCGAGTCCCAGATTTGGTGGCTTGCTTTCTCACTTTCTCACTTTCCTTCTCTTTCTCTCTGTTTCTCTCTCTGGTCAAATTAAAATAAATGAATGAATGAATAAAAATTAAATAATTAAAAAAATAAAGGGCACTGGGGCTGGCAGTTGGTGTGTTGGTTAAGGTGCTGACTTCCACACGGCTGACCACAGTTTGAGTCCCACACCTGGTGGCTTGCTTTCTCATTTTTCTCTTTCTCTCTCTCTGGTCAAATTAATAATAATAAATAAATAAAAATAAATAAATAGTTTTTTTTAAAAAAGGGTTGCAGCCACCCCATCCTGCATCTCCCTCCCTGGCCCTTTGGGCGCTGTAAGTGCCCAATACTCACCTGCACTAGTGACCTTTCCATTCATGGACATTTCCCCCCATTAATCACGCTTTATTATCCTTTTCTCATTTTTTTTTGGGGGGGAGAGGTTTTTGCTATAAGGGCGCGTGCGCTCGCCAGACAGAGACATAGAGACAGAAAGTGAGAAATCACCCCCCAGGGGGGATGGCCATGCTGCAATCCCTTCTCCTCCATTCTCTCGGGATCTTGGGCACGCACGCACACGCACCTGGTGTGAGTTCTAAGCCACTGGGTCCGGGACGCGAACCACGGTTGACTACG